TAATCATTTTTTAGAGAAGAGCCCAGCATGTCCCTCTTATAGTGGGCGTGGGTAAAGGAAGGTTCACAGGACTTCTGATAGAAAACTCCTGGGCATTCAGTCCTCAAGCTCATAAGCCATTCAGTGTGAATGGACAGACACCATCTCATGATGCGGGATAATCTGATGCCAGAGCACAATGCAGTTAGATCAACAAGGCATTGTTTATAGAGAACTCGGTGCACCTGGAGTGGCCTTTACTGAACAGAACCTCTCTTTGTAAGAGGATCTTACCGGCTTGCATGCACCCTTGAAACCAGCAATTTGGAAAGAAAAGGCCCTCCTTACAGAAACACCTCAAACAAACATCCCAATGCAGAAAAAGGGATTGGGGAAAGCTAAGCTACGGGAAGGGCTGCTTACACCTGATGGAGACAACTGAAAGGTACTCCACTAACGTGGCACAAGGGTGCCACTGGGCTGGGTTTGATGTGCCATTTCCAATCTTTTTCTGTAAGACAGGACATAGTTGCAAGGACACATGCTATTTCATAAGGTAAAAAGAGTTTTAAGAACATTGACGGTCAGGCGGTTGAGATGGCTGGGGGTGTGTGTGTGTGGGGGGGGGGCAAAGGCCCTTGGCTCTAAACCTGAAGACCTGCCTCCCATCCCTGGGGCCCACCTAGCGGTAGGAAAGAACTGACTCCCGCAGACTCTCCTCTAACCTTCCCAAGCATGCCTGCACCCCAACGCACTAAATAAATAATGTAATACACTTTTTAAAAGCATGTTCAAGGTCATGGTACTCTATTGTTTCCTGCTCCTGGACCAGCCTTTATTTCTACAACTTGCTGTGTTCTCTAGAATTTTAGAACCATGCCCCCCAAACAGTTTATAAAATGTATCTAATCATAAACTATAACAGCAACTACTGATTAAGGAAATGTTCACAGGAGGATAGTTCGAGATTTACATGATCTTAAAGGGATAGTCATACGATTTTCTACTAATGAGGTAAATTCAGAGCACAGGTAACTATACGGGCTAGCCTACTACAAAATTCAGTCCTACACAGTATCTTCTACTCAAGGGAAAAGGTGTACTTACTTCTTAGGGTAAGGTGGGTCAATGAATAAAGGGCTTGCCATGAAGGCGTGAGAACTGGAGTTTGCCTCTCCAGCACCTATATAAAAGCCAGGGTGCTACCAGGTCCACCTGCAGTCCCAGCACTCAGGAGGGGGGGATGGAGGACTGCTAAGAAAAGGCTGGAGCACTAACCGGGCAGCGGTGGCACACACCTTCAATCTCAGCATCTGGGAGGCAGAGGCAGGTGGATCTCTGTGAGTTTGAGGCCAGCCTGGTCTACAGAGTGAGTTCCAGGACAGCCAGGGCTATACAGAAAAATCCTGTCTGGAACCCCATCCCCTAAAAAGAAAAATGTCCCCATCGAATTGGCCGGTAAATAAAGTCTGTGCCTTAGTTAGGGTTTCTTTTGATTTGAAGAGCCACCACGATGACCACGGCAACTCTTAGAAGGAAAAAGCCTTTCATTGGTGTGGCTTACATTTTCAGAGGTTTAGTCCATTATCATCATGGTGCGACTTGGTGGCCTGCAGGCAGACTTGGTGCTGGAAAAGTAGATACTTACTTTGCCTACACCTGACAGGCAAAGGAAGAGCTCTGAGACCCTGGGTGGCATCTTGAACATATACGAGACCTCACAGCCCACCTCCACAGTGACACACTTCTTCCAACAAGGCCACACCTCCCAATACTGCCACGCCCTTTAGGGGGCCATGGTCTGTGAGACACTTTCTTGACTTATGTTTGATGTGGGGGATCCCTGGCCACTGTAAATGGTGCTGCCACTAGGAAGGTTGTATAAAAAAAAAAATCAAGCTGAGGGAGCCATGGAGAGCAAGCCAGGAAGCCAGGAAGCCAGGAAGCCAGGAAGCCAGGAAGCCGTGCTCCTCTGAGGCTTCTGATTCAGTTCTTGCCTCCAGGTTCCTATTTGAGTTCCTCCCCTAACTTCCCTCCATGATGAACTATGACCTGGAAGTGTGAGCCAAATAAACTCTTCTTCCCTCCACAGGTTTCTTTTGGCCACAGCGTTTATCATAGCAACAGAAAGCTAACCAGGGCACTGGGTCAACAACAAAAGACAGTGACATGTATACAACAAAGAACTGTTCTCATGTTCTACTTACTGAGGCTGGAAACTACAAAATATTTCACAAGGAGAATAGCCTTATTGTTAGGAAATACACTAATTTATTGAGGTGTAAAGGGCCATGAAACAGTTTGGGAAATTTATCTTGTCCTTTGAGAACATGCATAAAAACACGTGACATGCATTATACATGTCATTCAATATAACAAGCTATTCTATAATCCATACTTTATTATGTAGAAATCAGTGTGTGGCTTTGGAAGCTGAGGACAAATGACAAAGTGAAATTTAATCCAGATGTGGCCGCACATGTGTGTAATTCTATCATTAGAGAGTCTGAGGCAGGAGGATAAGGCGCTCCAGGAGAGCTCTGGCTATATGGTGGGTTTGAGGGCAACCTTGGACTATGTGAGGTACCGTCTTAACACAATAGCAACAATAATAAGAGTAAGATCAACCTGGGCACAGGAATTTATATTCTTTACTAAGGAGCTGCCTTAGTGGGGTTTACACAAGCTCTCAGCCAGGCACGTCCAATCCGCAGCCCAAAGACCACAGGCATCCTGGGTCAGCACCCGGGCCACCACATTCACAGGTGACAAATTCAGGCTGCGATGTCAAAACGTCGGACAGCCCTGGGAGTCTGCACCAGGCAGAGTGCTGCCGAAGCATCCCCCTGACTGAGTCACTCAGGGAGGCAGACTAAGCAGGTCTTAATGCGCCCCCAACTTCCTATAGTTTTTTTATTATTCAAAACTTAGGGAAAGTTTGGGGTGCTAAGAAATTGAGGGGAAGGAGGAGAAAATCCGGCCACACTGGAAAAAAAACAAAACAAAAACATTCTTTCTCTGGCATCTTTCCTTTCAGCCTCTAAGGCTTAGAAGAGTTGGGACTGTTATAAACTGTGTAGTTCCGTTTGTTTTTGTTTGTTTGTTTTTTAACCTAATATAAATGTCTCTTTTCTCTTTTGACTGGGTGAAAATGTTTCATTATACACGCACACTTCACCATTTACCCAGTTATTTCGCTAACATTGGTACTTTTTGTTTGCAATGTTTATGATTCACAGGGCTAAGTTAAATGGTTATGCTGTCAGCCAGGCATGGCGTCCCATCCCTCTAATCCCAACACTAAGGAGGCTGACACAGAGAATCACAAGTTCAAGGCCCGCCTGGCTGCAGAGCCAGCTCCTGTCTTAAGCTGCCTTCCTCTCCCCACAAGAGACGTTTATCTTCACCTTGCTTACTTAAAAAAAAAAATCTGTTTATACTTCAGTGACAGCGTTCCAGAAATAGAACTACTAGACCAAACAGTATAAGCATTTTCAGCATTCAATAGAAAAGATTCTAACTTTTCTAAGGAAGGTGAGCACACACCTTTATCTGTAACTGGAAAGGAAACATCTGAATGGGATTTCCAGAGGCGGCCTTCACTCAGGAAAGGAAGTTCCAACCGCAGCAGGGGAACAAAATTGCAGCCTTCAAGTCAAACTGAGCTCAGAGACAAATAAGTACTGTAAGCTATTTTTGCCCTTAAAAGAGAAAAGAGCAAAATATTCCAGCATCTATCCACACACACGGACTACTAAGTGAGAGATGTAGGACACACTCAGACGAAGAGGAAACTCTTTATGTTGTGTGTGGCTATCATCTAAATGACCTTCCTGCCCCCTGGATTGAGTGAGACCCTAAACATTTAGGAAGGAGGTGTGTGTGAAGGAGAGAACTGACTCCTAAAAGTTCTCCTCTGACCTCCACACATGTGCCATCACACATGCACGTACACACACACACACACACACACACACACACACACACATACACACAGCATACACACACACCATAACCCATACACAAATTATATATATATATTAGTTTTTAGAACAGAATCAGGGAAGGGCTCCAGTAGTTAGAGATGTGCAGTTTCATGCCATCTGTCCTGAACAAACAACTAGCCTCTTGTTTGGGCGAAACCTCTCTGAATTACATTCCTTCATTTGCTAAATGACACAGTTAAACAAAAAGTCCCTCAAAGTGACTCGAAGGTCTCTGATTCTGCAACATTTCCCAGTTTCAGTAGTGCCAGGGAGGGAAATGAAAAGAGATGTTCCCCTCTGAATGCATTATTTGGAATAGGTGCTCAGAAACATTTTCTAGAACACACTACACCAAGAAGCACTTAGAAAACAAAGGGGCTCCACAAACTCTGGATTTCCCCCTTCTTTAGAAAATAGGGGTGAGGCTGAGAGCCCTGCCATCCCAGAGGAAACAGAAG